TGGTACATGAGCTGTGGTCTTCTTATATTGATAAATCTTATAGTTTTGACTGTATTTATTTTGATTTCAAAAAAGCTTTTGATTCCGTTCCTCATCAGCGTTTACTAGGCAAGTTATGTAGTTATGGTATTAAAGATAAAACTTTAAAGTGGATTGCGGAATATCTTACTGGACGTTCACAGCGTGTCTCAATAAATGGATGTCTATCTAGTAAAGTCCCAGTGCTAAGTGGTATCCCACAGGGTTCTGTTTTGGGTCCAATTTTGTTTACTATTTTTATCAATGATTTACCTTTAGTATCTGACTCTTCCGTAAGATTGTTCGCAGATGATACAAAGCTTTTTAGAGTCGTAGACTCGGTTGATGATAGATTCCGTCTTCAAGAAGATATTAATGCCTTATGTGAGTGGTCTCGAAAATGGAATTTGCCATTTAATAGTGACAAATGTAAAGTTGTTCACTATGGAAGAAATAATCCAAAATGTTCTTATTTTATGTGTGATACTGAAATTCAGGCAGTTGACAGTATAAAGGATTTAGGAGTTACTTTTGATTCCAGTCTTAATTTTAGAATGCATGTTGCTGATATTTGTAAGAAAGCTAACATGAAATTGGGCATGATAAAACGGTCTTTTAGATTTTTGAAGAAAAAAGGTCTACTGAAACTGTATAAGTCTATTGTGAGACCAACTTTAGAATATTGTAGTGTAGTCTATAACCCAATTTATAAGAGAGAGGCAGATTCCCTAGAGAAAGTTCAACAACGAGCAACTAAGATGTTTCTGGAGGTAAGGGATTTTCCGTACGAAGTTAGACTTAAATTTTTGAATCTTCCAACTCTAGCATTTCGTAGACAGAGATCGGATATTTTACAGCTTTTTAAAATTGTCCATGGAATTGATAGGGTTTCGGATGATTTATCTTTTGAGTTTGATAAAGGTGCTAGAACTAGAGGTCACTCCTTTAAGATTAAACATCAGCACTGTAAGAAACTTATTAGAAGTCGTGCTTTTTCATTTAGGTCAGTTCGGCTGTGGAATTCCTTATCGAATGAAGATGTTAACTCTAGTTCTATTAACTTATTTAAATCTGCGATCGAAGTACGTTTGGCTGACCATCCGCTCAAATTTGCGCCCTATGTTAAATTTTAATATTCTGTTTTTTCGAGGGGCCTATAAGCATCGTTTTGCTTGGCCTCTATACCCAGGAGGATCAGACTGTAGAAGACTCTCTTGGGATACAAGTAAACAAGTATATTTTAATAAATATAATTTCGTTCCTTCGAAATAATGTTTCGAAATCATTCCGTTCCCTCGAAATATTATTTCGAGGGAACGAAAGTTTAATTTTTTTTCTAACCATGTTCCCCATAAATTTCTATAAAATCTCTAACAAAAAAAAACCATTTTAAATTTTGATTAATTTGAGGGGGTTCTTGACCCTTCGACCCTCCCCCATTTGGCTGCGCCCCTGAAATATGGTAGGTCATTGTATTTTTAAGTTGTATTGAATTTGAATGGATGGACCACATTTACGAAATATCGTTGAAATTAAATGAAATAAAAGGAAATAATGTAAAGTACAGGTAATAAATTAAAAAGTAAATGGTGTATTTTAAAAAAAGTGAACAAAAGCAGAAAAAAAATTATTTGTATTTAAAAGGTACACTAAAGAGCGAAGGGCCTATACAGTGGCGGATCAAGAAATCCGAAATAGGGCCCGATGATATCCAGGAAATGATTATGTCACCTCTTGATGGCCGGATATGGCACTCTCAGAAAAATGCAAGTAAGGGGAGCCGGCTTTTCCCTCATTGAATCCCCCACTGCTATAAATTAGCCTACGTGTGATTCGGGTATAGAGATGATTATTGATACGTAAGTATAAAGTAAGCACAATAATTTGATGTCTTTAATATATAATTCAATAATATACAAATGTGGA